ATAGATAGATATAGATAGATAGATATATATTAGTTTAAAATTTATATTGGACTTAAACTGGAAATTTAGAAATGTTGAACTGAACTGAAATATATTAAGTTGAAGTACTAAAATTACTGAAACTAAAACTGAAATAAAATAAAGGTAAATATAAATATAAAAATATAAATATAAAAAAAAAACTAATAAAAATGAGAAAAGCACAAACAAATACTAAAAAAAACTTAAAGTAAAAATAAAATGAAAACCACAAAACCTACAAAAAAAAATGCAAGAAAATATTAATAAATACTACTGTATATACTGTATAACTAATACTACTGTACAGTATATAACTCATATTAATATATTACATGGGCTGACAGACAGCAGTGTCTCTATGGTTAGTGAATATCAGATATCTTATAATCCCTTGAGTCAGTTTTGTTTCTATGATGGTATTATGTGATTCAGATGAACTGGAACAGCTTTCCAAATCCCAGGTCCAGATGTACCTGCTTTATGTGTTTGTCCAACTTAACGCTTCCGCTTAAGATCCTCCAAGTCATCAGCGAGTAAAAGACGGCGGTGCACGCCAGCGGCACGATGAAATAAAACCCAAAGAGCCACCAGTCTTTGGCCATTTTATAAAACTAGAATGAGAAAAAAGAGAGTTCCTGATGAACTTGACTTTATTTCAAAGGAAGTATGTCATCATTAGACTCTCGAGCAGATCTGAGCTCAAACCAGTAGCTGTTTGATGAGGAAATCAGACTTTCACTGCAGCCACTGCCATCTATATCAAAAGTTCCTGACAGACATCATAGGGAATTATTACTTTCAATGACATGCAATATGCATGGCTTGATTATTTGTATTTATGATTTTATTGCATGTAGTATCTCTGACTAAAGAAACAGTGGACCCAAAAATGGTAATTCTTGTTATTTATTCACTTCAAATCCATTCTTTGAGGAACACAAAAAGGGGAATCTTTCCCGAAATTGTTCTACAGAAAAGAGCTGTGTGAAAATCCTTCAGAAATTCTTCTGCTGGGTATATAAAGTTAATTTTTTGGTGAAATATTCCTATAACATATTATTACAGAGCAACTAAAGGGATGTGGTGATGGTGAAATAAAAATTAGATGGGAGGAAAAATTGTATTTCAGTGCTGTTGTGTTCCCTCACAAAAACTTCTGCGTTCCCCTGAAAAATGTTGCTTTTGCTTGCAAAACCACCTAAATATAGTTCCCTTTCAGTCGGTCACTCCCGACGTCACGTCGGCTGACCGACGAAATTGGGATCTCGCTTAGAGAGACC